AAAATCCGTTTTGATTGGCTCTCTCAAACTGTAGCACGACTTGCTACAGACGTCGACAACGGAAAAGATAAAATTGGTTTATGTCTGACGGAATGCAACGGCAGAGCTAACGGCGGACGGTGAGGCCAACGGCGAATATAAACGATCTTATGGAATCCTATATTTTTATGTTCACAACGGCAGGCGCAAACGGTAACGGAATCGTAACGTCAAGTTTATAAATGGGCCTTTACAGCTGCGCAAGAAAACTACATTTCAAATCTCGACTGTAAAGTACAACTGAGATCTGACTCTCATTCTGATGAGTGTCAACCGTCTATTGGGAACTTGCAACGCCAGGCATACCCTGATCGACACAAGAACTGCCTCAGAATTATTCAGCTAGAAAGAGTACCTGTTAGACGCTTCCGATTGGATATGGATCAACAACGGAGTCCCGAACAGCTGGGAAGTTACTACTTTCAGAGAGTGACGAGGAGAGTGACCTCGACCTCGAAACATTTTTCGAGATTGTGGAAGCTGGGGATAGATCAACGAAATGTAGAGAAGAAAAATCCGGTAAGCGGAGAAAGAAAAACCCAGGTACAAGAAGATTGGTCGATTACAACTGATGCTAATCCAGACAGGTCAAAGTTATCCTTCAAACAGCCGCTCTGCAAATTTCCATGAAAAGGAATGCTATGGAGTGCTGCGACCATTCACGGAAACGCAGGACCAGGTAGCCATTTGTCTAGTACCCATGACGTTGATTCAAGGGAAAAAGAGGATACAGAAGAGCCATGCATACAGAAAAGCCATGCATACATGAGGGTAGAAATGGGAAGTCAGCAGTCTAAGGCGCTGCGTTCAGGTCGCAGTCCACTTAGACAGGCATATGTTAGGCAGAAGAACAGATTAAATCATCATGGATCTGAGTGGAGATATAGACGAAGAAGAGGAGGTGGTGCGTCTTGGTAGCCAGATCGGAAGGATCTGATTCGAGAGGAAGGCAGTGTTACCAGGGCCTATTTTACCAAAAGGCACATAAGGCCCGAGCCTTGGGCCCGGTGTAAAGTGGGGTCCCGAGAAAGGCTTGAAAAAAAAATTAACATTTCAATTTGTAAATAAACACAAAAAAAAGCGAATATTCCGGTATCTGATTCAGAAAATTAAATGAAATTAGACTTTTAGGCTGGCCTCGTAGGTACAGCCTGAATGTCTTTCTGAAATGGAATTCATAACGTACGGAATTGTTTTTTTGCGGTGGTTCCAGGTAGAAAATGAGGGTGCATTATACGAATTTTTAAATATCATTCCTACATCATTAATCCCTGAAAATTTGAACAGCTTAGTAATAAGCCCTTCAGGTGATATGGAAGGGGGTTGTTTAAATTTCAACACATTGTATTTTGGAAACGACGGACTTCCGACCATCGGTGTCCTATCTCAAACTACTTCTCTATGGTTCCTCTATATACCCTAGCATTTTTGACCAGTTGAACGGGGATACCCTGTATATTTTTATTATACAGCACATACATTGTCTGACTTTTTCAGAGTTCAGAGTGACTCTGACGAGCGTTTTGAATTCCGCATATGAAAAATTGAGATTCTAATTCATAACGCATGTTTTTCCATATGTTTCAAATATACAAGCTCGCACAACCAAAATTCTGATTCTTCTCTTCCAATAAACACCGCTGAAATGATGCCGCAAACTACGAGAATACTTGTCACGGAATTTATGAGATATGTGTGCGGCGATGTGCCGGAATTCAGATCCTGAATTCTGTTCCTGAATTCAGAATCTGAATACATAACGTACGGAATTGTACAGGGTTCTGCAATTTGGCGTGTTTCAACAGGAAAAACATACTTCCAGACCAGATAGAGGAAAATTGACTTTGACGTCATGGGATCGATTTCCGAGAAACGTCGATTGTCAAAAACCGTATCACGATATCTTCAATGGTACCATTGATACAGGGCGATTTTCGATTTTCCCCTATTATGAAAAATAGCTATAAGTTTTTTATTTATCAATTTTTTTTTTCATTTCTGTAAAAACATTATGAAGATACATTTTTGAGCACAATCCCGTGGCGGACTCAGTTTTTTTCTATATCGCTCCGATTTCGAGATATCGACCAAAGTCCTATATTTTCAAATGAAACACCCTATATATTACTAGCTCATTGGATAGCTCTGTTTTGGCTGATTTCAATGATATAAAGTTCGATAGGTTTATCTCTAACAGTTTTCAAGAAAAAAAATTATATCTATTTTTTTCGTAAGGACCAATGTGTTAGAAAAGGATTTTATATGTGTAAGGAAAATGAAGAAGGTCTCTTTCTAACACATTGTTTCTTAAGACTGAAACATAAAAAAAAAAATCTCGAAAACTGTTAGAGATAAACCTATCGAACTTTATATCAGTGAAATAAGCAAAAGCAGAGGTATCCAATGAGCTATTAATATTTGGGGTGTCCTATTTAAAAAAATCGGACTTTGGTCAATATCTCAAAATGGGGACGAAATAGAAAAAAACTGAGTAGTCCACTGGATTGTGCTCAAAAAAGTAACCCAAAGATGTTTTCACAGAAATAAAAAAAAAATGATAAAGAAAAAACTTATAGCCATTTTTCATAATATAGGGGAAAATCGAAAATCGCCCTGTATTAATAGTACCATTGAAGATATCGCGATACGGTTTTTGACAATCGGCGTTTCTCGAAAATCAGTCCCATGACATCTAAGTCAATTTTCCTCTATCTGGTCTGGAAGTATGTTTTTCCTGTTGAAACACTCCAAATTGCAGCACCCTGTATATATTTTTATTATACAGCACACACATTCTGATTTTTTCAGATTATGAATTTTTCATATCGATCTGCCAGAGTGACGCTGACGAGCGTTTTGAATTCATCTGAAAAAATAGGATTATAATTTATAACGCATGTTTTTCCATATGTTTCAAATATACAAGCTCACACAGCCGGAATTCAGATTCTGATTCTTCCCTTCCAACCAACACTGCTCAAAAGATGCCGCAAACTATAGAGAATACTGGACGCGGAGTTTTTAAGATATGTGTGGGGCAATGTGCCAGAATTCAGATCCTGAATTCTGTTTCTGGATTCAGAAAGACATTCCGGTTGTGTGAGGCCGGCCTTAGATTGTACAATTGATTTTCGATTTAAAAATTTAAATTTTTTTAAAAAAAGATTACTCTCCCCTAATCTCCGCAACCCACGAGGAGCCGCCGCTGTACCTATTGCCATCATAGGATATTGGGGGCCCGAAGTTTTGCTTGGGCCTTGGGGCCCAACTGAATCAAAAATAGGCCCTGAGTGTTACGAAATTGCTTCGAGAGCTTGGCCCGATTCTAAGAAATGCAGTTGTCTGCGCATCGCGTGAACAATTCAGAGAATTCTATTCAAGTCGGGCGCCCGGTTTTTCTTGATAAATCCCAAGTAAAGTCAACTAGTTTAATAAAAGTTGTGAAGTGAGTTTTAGTGAACCCGGAACCCGTGACAATAATATTTATATATTTACAATTATAGATATAAAAAGATAAATAATAGTGAATTACATAATATCCTGTAATGTATGTAATTGAAATGTTTGGAGTGCGATTGTGAACGCACCTATTGTCAGTTACTCTGCCGGAATGTAATTATATTTTAGATTTGTCATCTGTCATCTGTTTCGACTCATTCAGGTATTACTAGCTGACCAGTAAGCATTAAATTAAATCAGTAAATATATTAAAGACTTTTATTCAATCGGCCCTTTACAATAAACCCAAATAAAGGCAAAAGACACTACAATCCTATTATCCGAATTAATCTTTTACTTTTTTTTATTGCGGATACAACTTTTCTCTTCTGGTTTAATCTTTAGCATTTGCCTCTCTATGGCTTTTCGTAAAGTAGCTATTTTTTCGATATTTGCCTTTGTAAAGGTCCACGTTTGTTGACGTTTGATAGCCGTATAGTACCGTATTTGACAACGATTTGACTTAGTTTCGTGCATTCAAAGAAAAGGATATATTTGTGAATACTTTTCAATACTAACGAAAGATTAACATTATACCGATCCTCTTTCCCCCACACGTAATCGCCCTATTTCCCAGAAAGTAATAATTGCCCCAAAAGGACAACGAAATAGGCCAATTTATCGTGCTCAACTAACTCCGGGACAAATTGCCGAAAACATTAATTTCTATTATTGTCCCTTTCGTTTTTATTTTCGAGAAAAATGTTTGTAAATTATTTATAAATATTCCAATAAAAAGACGTTTATTAGCCTAAACAACAATATTCAAATCCCTGTGAATGCCTATTCGCCTAAACAACGACAGTTTGCATGCTCGAATAGAAAGGCTTTAAATGTAACTATGAATAATGACGTGCTAAAAGCTTTCAATTGTAGTAGTTTCTAGTTGGCTCAATGCCAGTGACAAATTATTTGAGAAAGAAATGTAAGAATTGGAGAATTTTGATGTACGTCAACTTAGCGAGACAACATCATTAAAAATGGCGTAAGCAAAATATTGAGTGTGTGAAAATTTATCGTTTTTCAGTTATGAAAAATAAAAGTTTGCCTCTAATTCAAAAAATGATAAAAATTCGTTTTTCCCCAATTTGAGAGCACTGGGGTGAAAACGAATTTTTATCATTCAAAGCTTGCCTCTATCGAATTTGACAAATACGTCTGAAAATATAATAAAATTATCCCACGACCCGAAGTCGGATAATCAAATTTTTTATTTGCATATTAGATAATTTCGATGATTGGTGTGATCTCGTAACCCATTTAGCTTCTGCATTTGCAACACTAATCAGTTCCTTGGCTAATTGCCGCTAGACCTCAGGACTGCAAACGATCAAGATTGCTAGTACTTACTCAAATAGATTACTCTAGCAATTAATAGAAGAATAATTACATTTGCATAAGAAACTTTATCAATAAATCAGGAACATAAGGAACCTCCTATTAATTTTTTTTTTCTGTTGCAGCCTTGTTGTAATGAAATATGGAAAACAGCCTCAACCTCATGTCCCTGCATAGAAAACTTGGCAAATTCCGCCGCTCTACTAGCTCAAAGCCAACTAGTCGTAATGTCGGATGATCAAAAATTAGCTAGCCCCATTTGTCACAGTGTACCTACCCTTTGCTGCCGCTTATCGGTACCTCAAAATGTGCCAGACCACGCTATTTCCGCACCAACAAGTCCTAGAAGGCAAGATGTGACGTTACTGTCGGAATACGCAAGTGACGTTGACGAAGGCATAACGATGTGGGCTGAGTCTACTCCGTTATTGAAAGTCACTAAACCCCAAGACTTGGAGAGTTGTGTTTAAAAAAAAAAGGCTGAATTTTGTTAGGTGCAGTTAATTCATTGTTAGCTCAATTATTAGATGTATTTTTTTTCTCGTATCTAGTCAATGGAACCCTAAACCAATGTAAACCAAAGTATTAAATAAATGATATGACATAATATGACTAAAAATAGGTTGTCCTATCGTCCTATTCAGTTTTTGGACTTTCAAGAAAAAGGAAAATGAAAATTGCAATTATGTTAACTACCTACCTATCTTCTTCTTCTTCCCGTAGACCAGTGGTTCCCAAACTTTTTTCTTTTGCGCCCCCTTTCTGAAATCAAGAAGTGGTCGCGCCCCCCTTCCTTCACCCATTAAACAAAAACATTTTTTTTACTTACTGTAACGCGTCTGAACTGGACTTTGGAAGAGGAGGAATGGGCATGACAGTGGGCAGCGAGCGTGCGCTGTAGCAATGATTGCATGGTAAAGCTACTTTGGCTTAGGTATGCGCTGTTGCCGGATTGTAGACATCTTCTTTTAAATTTAAACTGTTTTTGACGTGTAACCCGACAAGCTTGGAAAAAACTTCTAGGAAGATTCTCATCCTAGGTGATCAGTCTGTCAAATACCTAAACTAATGCGAAAATACTTCAAAGAGGATGTGTCCATACTGACCGTGACCAAGCCAAATGCATCCTACAGGAATGTTCTTGAGAATCTGAGTGGTTTGGTGACAGGTTTCACAGAAAACGACTTTGTTATCATTTGCTGTGGTTCTAATGATCTTGCTCGCGGTAAATATCCTAGTGTGCGTCATATCAACAACAGTATTAAATCTTGTTTACATACTAATATCATTTTTTTATCATGTCCTATTTTAGTTGATAAGTTTACTCATAAGGTATAATCTTTTAACTCGAAGTTTAGTAAGTTCATAGATTTTGTAAATCTATATATATAAAAATGAATGCCACTTTTCGTTGTAATTTTATTACTCAAGAACGGACTCACCTAGCCAAACCAAATGTTTAGGTTTTGTTCAGACTATTTATTAGATGGTTTATGTGAAGTTTGCACAAAATCGGTCGAGCGGTTCTTCATTTATCACATTTTTTGTAAATAAATAGAGTATCATTTTGTTAATGGGGATTTTGCTGTTAAATTGAAACTTTTTTCAGCGTTGACAGTACCAGCATGTTGTTATGTCATTAATGTGGTCATTCCATTACTTATCTATATACCTATATAAAAATGAATGCCACTTTTCGTTGTACTTTTATAACTCAAGAACGGACTCACCTAGCCAAACCAAATGTTTAGGTTTTGTTCAGACTATTTATTAGATGGTTTATGTGAAGTTTGCACAAAATCGGTCGAGCGGTTCTTCATTTATCACATTTTTTGTAAATAAATAGAGGATCATTTTGTTAATGGGGATTTTGCTGTTAAATTGAAACTTTTTTCAGCGTTGACAGTACCAGCATGTTGTTATGTCATTAATGTGGTCATTCCATTACTTATCTATATACCTATATAAAAATGAATGCCACTTTTCGTTGAACTTTTATAACTCAAGAACGGACTCACCTAGCCAAACCAAATGTTTAGGTTTTGTTCAGACTATTTATTAGATGGTTTATGTGAAGTTTGCACAAAATCGGTCGAGCGGTTCTTCATTTATCACATTTTTTGTAAATAAATAGAGTATCATTTTGTTAATGGGGATTTTGCTGTTAAATTGAAACTTTTTTCAGCGTTGACAGTACCAGCATGTTGTTATGTCATTAATGTGGTCATTCCATTACTTATCTATATACCTATATAAAAATGAATGCCACTTTTCGTTGTACTTTTATAACTCAAGAACGGACTCACCTAGCCAAACCAAATGTTTAGGTTTTGTTCAGACTATTTATTAGATGGTTTATGTGAAGTTTGCACAAAATCGGTCGAGCGGTTCATCATTTATCACATTTTTTGTAATGAATTAAATATTCAATAAATGGAGGATCATTTTGCTGTCAAATTGAAACTTTTTTCAGCGTTGACAGTACCAGCATGTTGTTATGTCATTAATGTGGTCATTTCAATACTTATTTTATTTATTTATGAAAAAAATTTACTAAGCCCGCATACGGCGCCATGTCTTATAACCGATACCAAGTTTATTTTGTATTTTGTATACCGCGCCATCTCTGATACCTGGAACGAAGCTCGGCATTGCAGATAGAGTAGAACAATGCTGCACAGAACTATTCCGATCAGATAGAGTGGTGCAGAAAGAGTAGGTCAGATAGAGTAGCGCAGATAGACCAGAACAGATGGAGTAGTGCAATGCATGCAGTGCAGATAGAGTGAAATAGGGCTGCGCTAGAGATTTTTTTGTTTTCTTTACATTCTTTGAACATTCCTGTGCCTGAGTTTATTTATTTGGTGGTAAACTTTACAAGAATAATGCCCACAAGCTGCCTAAAAAACGATGATGAAAAATTTTAATTTTAGGTGACTTCTGATCCAGAGTGTAAACATTAATTTTCTTCAACCAAAGCCAAATTCACCATCGAAAAAAACTGAATTTAATTCAGCTTAGTAGATACATTAACACAACATTTAATAGGTATATTTAATAATTCAGAGGCGGTACGAAGTTCGCCGGGTCAGCTAGTAGATTTGTAAAAAACCATAATATGTTTCTGGATAATTTGGATAAATGGGGCAGCAAATTAAATAATTCTAAACTGTCTCATTCCCTGATAAACATCATCAAAACCTCAAAGAGCAAAACCACAAATCTCATTCATATCACATGTAGAGCAATAAACAATAGAGAAAATCCTAGAGTAAATGCTTTTCCGGAAAGGGGACTTCATAACAATATAGCACAAAAAGTCTCTGAGAGTCATAACGTATCTATGGACTCAAACGCTGATGTTGTTTTGACCATTGATAATTCTTTTTTAGAAGTAGTATCAATAGACTGAGTGTTCTTCTATTGAATATCCAATCAATTAGAGCTAAAACGAGTGAGCTGGACCTGTTTCTGGAACATCTTGGCTATCCGGCAGTTGTATTAATTACTGAACATTGGTTAAGGGATGATGAACCGGTTCACATTTCTGATTATAGTGTGATGGCCAAGTACTGCAGAAGCAATTCTATTCACGGTGGTACCATGATCTTTGTACGTGATTGTGTCCCAAAACAATTTAATTTTAAGGAGGTAAAAGCATATTCTGACCTTTGTGCTGAGCTGAGCTTTGAATGTTCTGTGATGTCTTCTAGCATTTTAAATTTATTTGTCATATGTATTTATCGTTCTCCAAATTCATGTAGTGATACTTTTCTCATGAAGTTGGAATTACTCTTAAGCGCCTTACCGCCTAGGTCATCTGTTATTATAGCGGGTGACTTCAATGTTAATTATGCGGAAATAAACCAAGGAATAGTCAAGTCACTCAAACATTTGTTGTGTTCATTTGGTTTGAAGATGCATGTTAATGATTTCCCAAGGGTTACACAAAATTCAGCATCTATCTTAGATTATGTGTGTTCAAGTTTTGAAGAGGGTGTATTTTGTTCTGTGCCTAATCCTGGTCTGTCCGACCATGAAGCAGTGTTTTGTGAATTTTGTACTCAGGAAAAGCTGCTTAAACCAACAAGAAGACGTGGCCGCATATTTTCCAAAAGAAACTTTATGGCATTTACGCATGCTTGCTTGGACACCGACTGGGAAAAACTCTGTAATGGCGAGCAACCTTTGCTGTCGTTTTACGATAGTCTGATAGAAATTTTTAATGCTAAATTCCTCATTGTGCAGGTAAAATCTAGAGCCAAAAAACCTTGGATAACTAAGGGTCTAAAAGTTTTTGCAAGAAATATGAGATGTCTGCACACTCTCCGTAAATTTTCACTGAGCAATGCATTCTTTATGAATTATTTTAACAAATACCGACAGATTTACCGAAGGGTTATAAAACTTGCTAATATTAATAATGAAAATCTGTATCATGTACTTATTAGCTACATCTGGGTAATGTTATAATTTGCACATAAATTTAAAATCTGTATGGCAGAATATTTTTTTTCCTGCTAGGTACTGTTCGTTATGGAGAAATTTCATTGTATTTTATTTATATGAGTTTTTGACTAGTTACTATTGAGTAAACACAATTACAGATTTGAGATTTTCATAAACACGGTCTTTTGTGAAATTCATTTGACATGATAAAGATGTATGGTTGTGGACAAAGTACGAAGCTCAGAAACTCAGAGCAATTAAAAATTGTGACCCCCACTGCCAACTTGGGGACAAGAACAAGTATAAAATTCACCTGATAAGTTGTAATGTGGGCCGGATGGAATTCCCTTGCTCTTCATAAAGAAATGCCTGGACACCCTTGCGACGCCTCTGGCAAGTCTCTTCAACCATTCATTGTCGACAGGTTCTTACTCGGTTTTGTGGAAGTCCAGCTTTTTGAAACCCATATTAAAAAGTGGGTCAAGAAAAGAGGTCACAAGTTAAGTGCTGCACACTGAGTGGTCTGAGATTCCTAAGTTGCTGGATTGTCTCATTACCAGGAAACTCAGCTGGGACTGTCGGTACCTTGTAAATCCGGAACAGCATGGGTTTACGGTGGGTGAGTCGACATCAACAAATTCGGTTTTGTATCAGAATTTTATTTTGAACAGGATGGAGAAGGAGTTCCAAATTGATTCTGTATAGTCGGACTTCTCTAAAGCCTTTCGACAGGGTTAACCATCGCCTGCTCATTAGAAAGCTGGGTTACTTGGGGGGAGAAGTTTGCTTGCTGACTTTGCTTGCTGACTTTTTTGTTGGGAGAACTCAGGCGGTTAGTTATGGCGGTGTTGTGTCTCGTGTCTTTGATGTTCCTTCTGTCGTACTTCAGGGGTCTCACTGTGGGCTGATCCTGTTTAATCTGTTCGTATCCGATGTAGGTAGTTCCATTGTACAGAGCTCATTTTTGTCATTTGCAGATGATCTTAAGCTTTATCGTCAGGTATCATCGTTGGAAGACTCACAACTGCTGCAGGATAATATCGATTCTTTTGATAAATGGTTTGGCTCGAACGAAATGGACTTCAATATTGCCAAATGTGATAAGATAACTTTTTCCAGGTTTG